ACATATGTTTACACAGAGTAAACAGGGCATACTGGTATGAGGCGTTGCTGAATTCGAGCATATACATATATTCGCTTAAGTTCAGCTGTTTCTTGTTTTGTAATCCAGGCTTTCTTCACGTTGGTCAACGCTTATCAAAAGATTGTAAATCAAACCTTACTCTTATCAAAACGATTGTACATCAACTAAACAGATTCCTAATTAAAACCAGTAGTGCCGCGGTAAAAAAAAACATTTTGTCGACACCCTATACTCAGAAATCAAGAGTTCTCCAAGGATGTGGCGAAACTGCTGCAGAGGGAGAATTTTGAGGCACCTGAATGGATCTAAACTGCTTTTTTCGGATGTAATTTAACGTTAAGAATGTGTTATCCGTTGCAGTTCAATGTATCCTGAAAGTGATGATGTTGATGAATCCCCGGATATTCTTGTGACGGATGACGGATATACGCTTACTCTTCCGTCTGGTAAAATTCACATCTGCTCAGCACGGAGAGCTGTCCAGTTCGACAGAGTGTAAGAGAAACAGTTTAGAGAAACATAGCTTAGTTTGTTTCATGTACCATTTAGAGGTGTTTATAGGTGCGAAAATTGGACACCGTTCACTTCTGCGTTATTATCGACAGCGCTTGAAACCTCTTGGAAACATGACGAAAACTGAGCAACGAGGGCAGGAAGCACTGAAAAAAGTGTTCGGGCAGTACAAAGCACTGGGATGGACCGGCACTTCTGGTTTGTTTGTTTTTATCGTTTTGATGGGAGCAGATACGACCACACCGTGTATTTTCCAATTGAATTGTTGCGTTTGCAGGGTCACTAGCAGTGCAGCGAGCGAAGGATATTCGGTACATGAAGAAGTTACACTCGGAAAATTGGGTTAAATTGGGCTTGAGCACAAACAAACTATTTGTATCACGCGGTCGTGCAGGCCAATAGTGTTCGGTGCGATAACCAGCAGCAGCAGCAGCAGCTGATCGTACATTTTTCTTCAGCAAATCGCTTTCTTTTAGCATGATGGTTTATCTTGTTTTGTTTTCCTGTTCATACATGTTTAATATATTCTTTGCAAATAAAAAATCATTTTAAATTGTCTGTCATTGGATCCACACATGCCGCTACAAATGACCACTCAAAAAGTCCGAGAAGTGATGGCGCGTATTCATTAAAGGTAACAAATATACAAATAATTGGCCAACGCACGGGATGTCCATGCGAAGATGCGTTTTTTGCATAGTTCCGCGCAGCTTTTGTCGCTACCGGCATCGGTTTTTTCGGTAAATGCTTCTAGCTAAAA